CCATGATTTCTGATGTGGAATTGGTAGGAACTGTTGTTTTTGTTATTGCTGTTAATGTTATCCTGTTCGTTATGTCGAATGATGCTCCGGTGACCGAAAATGTTGCTGTGATTGGTACTGTAACCGTTGTCGGAATTCATGTTTCGATGATTACGATGCTTTAAACTGTTGCTGTGTATGTTGTTCCTTACGTTAGAATAATTTCGTGCTGTATTTTGTTTCCTTTTCTTTCTAGCTTTTTCAGCATGTTTTTGTTGATTTAGCCGTAGTGATTTGCGCGCGTCGTAATCTGACCAGTCTGCTTTCCAGACCCTCCTCATGCCCAAAAGACGCCATCCTGAGTCATCAACGTTTTGCTCATTGTTTAACTCTTCCAGCAAACTGGGGAGAGGGTCAGGTGATGGTGATATCACTTCGTATGGGGAGTCTGGCGTATTAAGTGTGACACAGTTAATTTGGGTTTCGATGTTGCCAATACCAGCCGATAACGATTTCAGCTCATCTTATACAATACCTAACCCTAGTATAGGGTTTTGTTGCATTGCAACAGTAGAGCACAGGTCAGAAGTTATATTGCTTATATTTTTCAGCTCGTCCTTGAGAAAGTTAAGGTCTTCGGAAATTCCTGATGTCATTGTTGGCATTGAATTTGCAAAATTTTCTTGTGAAGCTTTCATCGCTATGTCAAAAAGCGAGGTAATGTGGTTTTTAATAGCACTAACGTTGTCAGTAGAACCACTGCTTCCAGTTGCCGTCAGCTGTTTTTTTTTATATCGACGAGTAAAGCATCGAGTCGGTCGATCGCTTCATGGACAATGTCAGCATTATTTGGGTGAACCGTGGAGCGATGAGTCACCTCTGTGTTTTTGTTGACTTGGTCGACCAGCCGCGCTTGTTGCTCCACAAGCGCGTTGAACTCAAAACTAGCCGTTATCATAGTTTGGCATGAGCTACAGCATGGTAATACATAAGACAAAATGTTGATTGTCTTGTCTCTCTTGTGAATTGAGCTCCTCTGAACCGGCACAGGTACAGATAATCCTAGGCACGCTGCGTGGAATTGACGCGGGCATCCAGCACATTTCCACATGCCGGATTCAGTGGAAGAATCCACAGCACAAATTTCACAGCTCATTTTAACGGCGTACAACAACAAAAGTTTAAAAAAAATACACACACGCAAAACGGTACCCGCACGCAAAAAATAAAATAAAAATAAAATGAAAACGAAATTAAAGCGCACGCGGCTAGGAGCGACTGAAAAACGCGTCCACACTGATTGACGATTGACGAAATTAACCCATAATTGATTGACGAAAAAAACCCATAATTTAAAATGAATTAAACCCATTAAATGACATGGGAATTCAAAAACCAGTTCAACGGTAGTAATAACCAAAGCTGGCAACATCCGGCCATGAGTGTTCACTCGGCTTCGACAGAAGCAGGCCACTCTCGATACATGTGTCACGCGATTGTCTGTTTACTCGGCAGCAACCATCGTGTGGTTCTCCTCATTGTTCTTCATCAGCAGTTCTTTTGGTCGATGCGTCATCGACTTTGGAAAGCAACCGTTTCGTGATGAGTGCTGACCACGTTTTGCGTCCATTGCTGCAATGGAAGCGCTCTGCCCTTCGTTGGCGATACTGCTATACAATGAAATTACTGGAAGTGGCTCTCATTCTGATGGAGGAGGCTTATTGGATAGCAAAAGATAAAGTTTTTATTTATTGTGTTGTATACTTTGACTACAGCTTTAAGATGTATTGCATAGTGAACAAGAATCATCGGCTCCGTAAAGTTAATTCGATTGAGCCTTATCAAATAAATTAATAAACAACACATCCGGTCATGTTTCAGGAACCACCGGCACCAGTTTCTAGCTAAGTAATAGCTTAAATAATAGATTAAAATATGCTTGTGGATTGATTGATTTGGGCTACTAAATGGTGAGTTGAGAACTTGGAAGGAGCGGGATACCTAGCTCTGGTCCTCACAAGTTCCTACCTTACGCTTCCCCAAGTGATATGATAACAAAAGTCTACTACCTGAAACATAGGCACAGCTGGGTGGCGCAGCCTGGGCAATGTTGCCAGTCCGGCAATAGCAAACTGAAGAGGTGCGACGGGAACACTGATGCGATAACCATAGTACGGTGACAGGAATTGCTTTACCAAACCCGAGCGTCTGTTCACCATGGAGGTGCGGGTCAAAACGGCGTCTGTTCTCCATGTTAGGAGCGACTGATCACCGTTCCAGGACTCTACACGGTAAGAAAAAAGTACCCAACGGCCAGTTCACTTTTACCTACTTTTGACTAGTTTGTCTAATTTTCTCCTTCTAATGTTGTCAAAAAAAAAGGAGTAAAACCACCCAACAGGGGTAGTAAAGTGTGGGAACCCAACGTTGGGTATAATCATATTTACCTGTTGGGTACAACTAACTTACTTTTGGTTAAAAAGCTAGTGGAAAATTCCATACGAACTGCACACAAGTAAATGAAAATTACTTTGACCTGCTTTACCTACTTTTGGGTTCCTGCACTATAGTGCCGAAATGAGTGAAAAGAACTTAATTTTGGGTACTTTTTTCTAACCGTGTAGAACCGTAGGACTCTAAACAGAGCTGTGCACGCCAGAAACCACCATCGAAAAAATATAAAGTTGCAAATACCGAAGAAAGAAGATGACTTCTTCGGACAGGAGAGGACATCAAGACCTTATCCCGATTTGTAAGGTAAGTAAAGATGAATTGATTTGGATTGGATGTTTGACTTGGATAATTTTAAAGTCACACATCCTGCTTATACCGCATTTTCAAGATTTCACATATCAGGGTAATGTGCTGTAAATGTACTAAATTTGAATAGTTAGTGTTTGTATTAATATGATAATACGGAAAATATCATTCTGATAGTTGATTATCATTATTATTTAGCTTTATTAAGGAGGCTTTCAGCCTTGGGCTGGTTCGCCTCCAATGATAGTTGATGTTAATTCAAACTATTTTTAATTTTTATTTGTTGATGAATGTGCGACTGCTTTGATCAATTTTGAGTAATTATGAGTTACTCATATTTACTCACTGCAAAAATAATAACTCTGAGTACGGCTGGCTTGCCCCTTGTTTTTGAATTTTCCACCGAGTTCCGCAATTCAAAAACCCGATAAAACCTTACTGGCTGGATTAATGTGTACGTTTGTTCCGATGCTTTAGTTCTTAAGCTACAACACAAAGCCCGTTAGAGCGCATTGTATGAATATTTACCCTCATTGTTCTCAAAAATAAAAGAAGTTCTCCTAGCGAAATCATTTTTTTCGCCTTCATCCGTACACGCACTAAGATCGACAAGTTGACAAATCTACAGCATCGATCGGATTCAGGTCGTGTTGTCCATTTCTCGCTCAACTATTCAAACGGACCATCGTTTTTCGCTTCCATTATTAACTCGGCTACAAAAACGTTTACATATTTTTCGTATTGGATGCTGGATAGTAACTATTTTCATCGCACACATAGGATGAACTTGGAATCAATAAGCAATATCGTAACAATTCATTACCTTCATGAAAAGGTAAATACATTTAGAAGCCATCTATAGTGGAATCCATTTTTATCATATCCATTCGAAAAAAGAGGTAAAGCGTGGGTTGTGCTTAGTAGGACGGTAATCAAATAAAAAAAATAAAACAATCAGGTTTTACCGGAAGTTTTTCTTCAGTGTAGAGAGTAAAGAGTTTGTCATGATGGAAGTATTCAGATTTGTAGGTTATACGACGCTCAGGTGGGTCATTTTTTTTATTTACACAGAAGTAACTCACCTGTGACTCCGAACTATTTTCATATAACTTAATAGAAGGTAGACAATATGAAAATAAATCCTAGGGAGCATTCATCAAGTGTTTCCCGCAAAATTGAGAAAAACCTATCTCCTCTTCGTTCCTTCATAACTTAAGCGAACCCCACACGGTGAGAAATAGTGTCAATACTTACAAGTATTGACAATATTATTGATGATGTCAATATCGATGTAGGGGAGGAGGGCATAGTGAACAGGTGGGGCATAGTGAGCATCCCGCAGTTTGGCCCTGGATCTCTAGCTGCATGAAACAAATCAACTGGTAGTAGGTTCAATATCATTATGATATTGATCCTACCACCAATAAATTTGTTATGAACGGCCGGAAGTCCAAGCTGGTGCACGGGATGCTCACTATGCCCCACCTGTTTACTATGCCCCTCTTACCCCTATTCACGTCAATATAGAATGTATTGACAATACGATTATTGTCAATACAAATTGTCGCGTGGGGTGTACTTTAGAGTGTGAAGTGGGTACTTGAAGAGAAAGGGAACGAAACACTTTTTTGAAAAATTCAAATGCAATTTTTTCGTTCAAAACCGAAATGTAGTTTATGAAGATTTGTTCACTGAGTTCCGCTTGCCAAATAGAAAACAGTGAAAACATTTTCATAAACATAATTTGAATAAAAAAAACTGCAATTGAACTTGTTTAAAACTATTCAGCGTCCCCCCCTTACATCCTTTACTGCATGATGATCCAAAATATACTGAAACCATAAACGAATGATAAAATTATACCACAGTGGCTGATACCTCGAACACGCCGTTAAGCACTTTTTCTTGTACTTTTCTATTAGGACCTTCTAGTACCTATTGCAAAATATAATAACCGATAAATCGCTGTCTGGCCAAGCTGAATGCTGTTTTTCATATTCGAAAATTCATGCGTTGTCGAAAAACATCCCAAAAACTGTCCTCTACAAAAACGGTCCTCTACTTAAGGAAATCAAATTAGGATATGTTAATTTAAATTGTTCAAGCAGAAACACCTTGCTGATATGTAAGAACGTAAAAATAGCACTTCTTTCATCGCTAACAAGCGGTTTCAAATTCCTCACATTTTCCACATTCTTATGAATGGAACTCAGCGAGTAAAACACACTTTCTTTGCGTGGAAACAGAAAACCGTTATACACCTACCTGTATGAGTATGTTTTCATTCATAAATCCGAACATCTACGATCGCCGCCGTACCGTACCACCCTGATAAAAGCGCCGATTCCTATTGGAATTCACCAGTCCAGGCGTCTACGACGAACTATTTCGGGTGTGAAATCCGATACAAAAACGACAATGCACTTCCTTTAAAATAAAACACCTTCCTGAAACACGCGTTCCGAACAGTGATTTGAATTACGTTTCAACACTCACTCTTTTCAGTGATAGTAATCGGAAACCACTTTTAATAGGGGTTCTTCGGAATTTCCCACATAGGAAGAAAAAAAAAACTTTCACTACACTTTCGCTCATCGACTACTCAGAATACACTCTGCTGCGCTTTTTCGTTCTGGGGCAATCCGAAAGGCTTTTCACAACGGTTGGGGTTACTTTCTACTTCTGGCGGCCGTTTGGTTCTTTTGTTCGACCGAACACAGCAAGTGATAAAAGTCAACTGATGATGCTTTCGCGACGTCCGAGTCTGTTATCCAGTTTTCGTGCTGAAGGCTCTGCTCTTGTTCTCCACACATCATCATCGTCATCAGAGCAAATCAAAACACACGTTCGGGTGGGATGGCTGCGTCCTGCATTCGGTTGTGCGAAAAAAGCTCTCATTCTCTCATGGATTGGTTTACTCTCTTTCTATTATCAAATTTTGCGCGCGCTTTTGAATTTTCACATTCTACAGAGAGAACGAAATTACAACACAGAGCGTTCATAAGGGCCAATATTGCAAACGTAAACAATGGCTTTTTCGTAAATTTTTGCAATTAAAAGTCTATCCATAAGCCACCAATTCCATCTGATAGGGAGACTCCCCCAATAATCGTGGTTCTCGAAAAATTCGCGGAAGAAAGCCATTGTTTATGTTTGCGACATTGGCCTTTATGGCAGAAAAGTCTAGAAATTCTCTGATTGGATACCCGAAAAAAAAATTACAGTGAAATTTTCAGTGGAAACAATGCTCTAACATTAATATTTATTTTCGACAATAAAAATGATTGTTATAATGTTGTACCCTTCCGAAAACGGCAAAACTGCTTCCTAGATGTACAATGAATGTACATAATAAAATATTGTTACAATGATTTTTATCGTCTTTTTCATTTATTTTATTGTTAACATGATTCGATCATGAACAATAATGAACAACTCTATTACAATAAAAAATGTTGTTACATTAAATATTGATGTGTTTTCATTGTGGGCTACGTCACGAACAATAAAAATAAATCTAATTGAAGCATGCAGACTATGAGAAGGTCAGCAACACTGCCAATGTAATCTAGATAGGCGCTGCTCGTATGGCTGTGGCTTTGACAGTTCGTTTGGCTCAAAACCAGCCAGTCCGCGTCCGTTCATCTCTTATCCTAGACCCTCTCTAAAGCTGGGTTAAGATGGTTCAATTCAGCGTTCAACTCACTTGAAGCAACACTTGAAGTGCGAAACGAACGTCCAGAAATCTGACCGATATCGGACTTGCTCTATTCGTTGCCAAGTCAATTCAACGCCTACGACCAGATCGGTTTGAGTTGAATTCAACTCACTTGCCTCATCTAAATCCCGCTTAATGCAGACCTTTTCCTGACTGCACGGACATAATCATACAATAATAATAAAAAAAATCCACCACTTGAAGATGTAAGGAAGGAACTCTCAGGTGGAAGCATATTTCATGGGCGATTCTCTCCAGTCGAATGTATTAATAATCATACAATAATAATAAAAAAAATCCACCACTTGAAGATGTAAGGAAGGAACTCTCAGGTGGAAGCATATTTCATGGGCGATTCTCTCCAGTCGAATGCATTAACTTATCAACGACGCTCAACCACCAAGAAGGCGTGACCTAGGGAGATCGAGTGCAGGGGAGTTGGCCTGCATTTCTCACAAGTTGCGGATCGAATCTCAATCCAAAATAAGTAAAAAAGGACTCACCCGTAACAGACATACCACCCCCTTCCCTTCCCGGGGCGATGTTTTATTTTTTCGAATTTTTTAAAAGTCGATAAAGTAGATCTGTCAAGCCAACACATACACTCTAAAGTACACTGTTATTTTTTTTATCAATAAATTCGCCAACCAACAGTGAAATAACAATAATATATACTGTTATTGAAAAAAAAATGATATGGGGAAATCTCGAAAATTTTATTGTTAAGATACTTAACAACCCCCCTTTTTTATTGTAAATTTTCCATTTACCATGAAATTTACTGTTTAGTACAACATAAATCCAGGTAAATTTATTGTAGACGTAACAATATAAATCATTGTTAAGGCAATAATTTTCGTCTTATTGTTACATTGTTTTTTAATGTATTTTTGTTGTTATTTTTTTCGGGTATGGAAGTGAAGGCCGGCGCACAATGCATACGTTTTCGGGTTTTTTTTGACAGATGGGCTAACTGTCAAAAAACCTGAAAACGTATCTATTGTGCGCCGGCCTTGAGTGTTCCTAGTCGCTATATGTATTACGCATTTCCCACCAAACTGGACAAATAAGCGCGTTTTCACTTATTAAAAAGTGTGATAAAAGTGCACGTTTACGTCAAACCGTTTGGTTGTCTTCGGTGCACTTATTCCTTATGGAGTAAGGAATAAGTGCACTGAAGACAACAAAACGATTTGACGTAAACGTGCACTTTTATCACACTTTTTGCATTTTTGGAGCAGTCCAGTTTTAGTTGCAACTAACAATAAATAGTTTGGCGAATAGAATTTGAATCTACACAGTAAGAAAAAAGTACTCGGCTCCAGATGACAAGCATTTTGAGTTAGTTCGCAGTACTCAGGTGTGTATCAAGCTGAGTACTGCGAACTAACTCAAAAATGCTTGTCATCTGGGAGCCGAGTCGAACTGTCAAACGGGAGTCAAACATACAAAAGAGCACAGAAGTCATGTGGGTAGTTACTGTTTGAACCACAAGCAACGATGCCAGATAAACAGACTTTTGTACACGATAAAGGTGGACACTATCTTTTTTGAACCCTTGTAACTTTAATTATAATAACGATTTTAATCTCATTAGATATAAAAATAGTTACAAATATTAACTAGTTATTGCATTAATTCTAGCTTCAGGAAATACTTCATTTGATATTTTTTGGATACAATTAAAAAAGGGTGACCACTTTTTTCGTGTACACAAGTCTGTATATATGGCATCGTTGACCACAAGTAAAGGTATTGTCACCTACTGAAAACAAATTAGGGGCTGTTCATAAACTATGTAGACTTTTTAGGGGGGGAGGGGTTAACAATTATCAACGGCCCATACAAATTTTAAATCTTTTGTATGGACAATTTTCTACGCAGGGGGGGGGGGGTTAACGAATCCCAAAAAACCGTCTACGTAGTTAATGAACAGCCCCTTAAGAATTATAATTGTGAAACTTTCGAAACATCAACCTTAGTAGGCGGATAATGTAAATCATCGATCGTGATGCTCAAATAAGTTTTATTTGATATTAATAATAATGACAAAACTGGGTTACGAATTGCTAAAACAAGAATTTAATCAAACTTTATAAGAGTCATGTGAGCTTTGTCGGCAGGTGCACTCCCAACACCATGTATACGTTATTTGTGGAGCAGAGAAGGAGGAGCCAAGAGTTCATTTGGCAGCATGTATATACGATTTCGTGAGCTGTTTCGCAAAACAATTTAAAGCTTCGAAAGATTTTCAAGATGTTTTCTTGCTCACTTGAAAAATTAAACCGACAGAGTTCGCAATACCCAGATACACACCAAATATCTTAAATATTGTTTGGTACTTTTTTTGCTGGATACGTTCTGTAAAATATAATTTCCACCGAAAGTTTTGTAAAAAATATAATTTCACCAATTTCCGCAATCAAAACTGCTGAATTTCCGTAAATTAAAATGTTTTACCGAAAACTGAAAACAAAAATTACCGAACAAAATTGTAACGGGCTGTAATTACACGATACTGTAAAAAGCTTAGCGAATGTACTGTAAAAATAATCTTTTACAAAAACAAACCGTAGTAAAGTAATAGATTATTGTAAACATTACCGAACAGGTTTGTAAAGTTCATATTGTATCTTAATTCTTTATCACAATACAATTGCGTGTGCTCGAACTAGTATTCTGAGAAAAGCATTAAATTTTAACAAGATACCGCATACCCAACAAACAATCGTCTATTGAAGAAACGACTTCTTGGCCATTTTATTCAACTGCATGCTTAATTGTACTTGTACTATTTTTAATAATAACTTCTGTTCAGGCTTTAAATATATTCTACACACTTAGTTTTTTTTACCGAGCTCGGCTGTGCAAATCTCGGCAAAAAAAGTTTTGCTGAGATCTCAGCAAACATTTCATTTGTTTGCTGAGATTCAGCTAAGCTTTTTCCGAAAGTCAGCAGTCAAATGTCACTTTTGCTGAGATCTCAGTGAAACTTTTTTTGCCGAGATTTGCACAGCCGAGCTCGGTAGAAAAAACTAAGTGTGTACCCTAAATTAAGTTTAATTGACGTAAATTTGCGAATATGCAATTTACTCAAAAGTAACTTATTGGGCTGAACTGGGCTACTAAATGGTGAGTTGACTAAATGGAAGGAGCGGAATACCTAGCTCTGGTCCTCACAAGTTCCTACTTCACGCCTCCTCGAGTCATATGATAACAAAAGACTACCAGCTGAAACATGGACACAGCTGGGTAGCGTAGCCTGGGCAATGTTGCCAGTCCGGCAATAGCAAAGTGAAGAGGTGCGACGCGAACACTGGCACGGTAACCATAGTACCATAGAGGTAACTCTAAGACCACTGGGTCCCGAAGAAAATCATTATTATTTTTGGCTCACTCAGTACCAGAACAACGGTCCCAAGCAGTCCCAAGCTATTTCACTCACCCCTGCATGTTCTGCATGAATCCACACACCCCTGATGTTATCTGTCAAACTTTCATAGCGAATCAAAACAAACATAGTGTAGTAATAGAATTTCAACTAGAATAGGGTACGTTAATCGTTTGCTTGGGACCAATAGGCTACTAAAGTGGTGAGCCAATTTAAAATCGTTAGTTTCGTATTGATTGTTGATAGTACGGTGATAGAGGAAATGCTTCACCAAATCTGAGCGTCTGTTCACCATGGAGGTGCGGCTCAAAACGGCGTCTGTTCTCCATGTTAGGAGCGGCTGATCATCGTCCTAGTGCCAGCGTGGGACTCTAAACAGAGCTGTGCGCGATGGTCCCCCGCTGAGACAGGGGGTTGGGGTAGGCCCAACAAGCCGCCCTAAAAAAAAAACAAAGTTGCAAACACTGAAGAAAGAAATACGGATCGGAACAATCGGCACAGACCTACGCGACGAAATAAGGACTACGATTGGAAACTCGAAACATGGAACTGCAAATCGCTTGGCTTCCCAGGCTGCGATAGGTTAATATATGACGAACTAAAAGGTGACATGTGGACCCTTCGCAGACTACGAGGCTGGCGAACTGTGGCTATGGATCGAAAAGAGTGGAGACGACTTCTTTGGACAGCAGAGGACAACAACTGATTGGTAAGGTAAGTATGGGCTGAACTATATCGTTGGGTCGAATCTCTCGTTCCTTTTTTGACAACAATAACGAGTGCAAGTGAGAGGCTGAAGTCAATATTAAGTAAAAAAATTTTTAGGAAGTATTTTTTCTCCGTGTAGATCTGATTAAAGCCATCTAATTAAAGTATAGACTTCTCTGACGTTTATGAATACGAAACTAACGATTTTAAATTGGCTCACTACTTGACTAGCCTATCGGTCCCAAGCAAACGATTAACGTACCCAATTTCAGTCGAAATTCTAGTACTACACAATATTTATTTTGATTCGCTATGAAAGTTTGACAGATAAAATGAGGGGTTATTGGTTTTTCCTATGTTTTGAGGGGGGATTCGATTAGCTTGGGACCGAAGAGAATACCAGAGCTGAGCCAAAAAGTTGAGCACGTTATTTCGGGATCTTCTAGTCTTAGAGTTACCTCTATGGTATAAGTGCAGAACTTTGGATGAATTCAAAGGTTTTCTTGCACTAATACTTATAATTTATTCCAAGTTCTGCACTAATATTTGTGCATTTCACAAACGTCAGAGAAGTCTATGGGCGACTGTGACCACAAAACTTAAATCTGTTCCAATCGAGCAAAGTGGTGCATTTTGACGGTTCGATTGGAACATATTTTGACAGACGTCCATACTTTTAATGTAGGGCTGTAGCAAAATCTATTGTATAACTATCAAATTTATGCTAACGCTACGCATTGTGGGTGGACCTTTACTGTCGTTCTTCGCATGTCCGTCCCAAAGCGAACATCAGCAAGCCGAAAAAATCACGTTTTAAGTTTGCTTCGTACCATTGCTTCTTATGTGATGGGACAATCAATTTGATTGCCTTTCCAAACTTTTTCAGAACAAAGATTTTGAGTTAATCCAGTATTATGAAAATATGTGTAATTAGCTACCATTTGCATTGAAAAACTCAGTTTTTACCAATTCGACTATGGGCCGACATTCGGAGAGCGGCAGTCTACTTCAACGCTGTTTCTCATTTCAAGAGCAAATTTCCATCTCGTCGAAAGTAACAAAGGTAAACAAAGTCGAGCTATCAGTGTCAATCGATGCTCCTGCTATTACACTATATATTAGACTGATGCCAAATTTGAAATTTTCGCTCCACAGTGTTCAAACGGTTTGAAATCGGGCCCTGATGAGCCTCCGAAAGTTTAAATTCATTTAATAAGAAACTGACTTGGCACAAACCATTTTAAGTTTATATGGAAATTACTATGGGAAAACAAAACTTTTTGTTTATTGTCTTCTAGCCTTTTTACATATTGTACTGTTAACAAATTCTATTACTATTCTTATGGGAATTTTTATCAGCTACAACTTTGCCCAACATTGTTTTTCAGCCAAACGTCAAATTAAATAGTTATTAATTGTTTAAGAGATTGATAATCTTATGGCAAGATTAAGCTAGAGTCGGTGTATAATGAGTCACGCCAAGAGAAAAATAGTTTAACTCGCATCACGGTTTTCGAAAGATTCCCTTTCTTTTCACTTGGCAACAGAGGACTTCTACATCAACTTCAAATGACTTCTAGCCATAAATAAAAATAGCGGCTGTAGTAAATCATTATATCAGTGATTTTGTCAAATTATCTTAACAAAAAATAGTAGAAATTCTCATTACTGGTCATTACTAAACGTATCCCATGACAAGTTAAAACTCACTGCGTATTTATGACCATTTCTTCGATTATATTTTATATTTTATTGCAATACCTTTCGTGGACCTTTCATAGCATCGTAATGTTTGTTTGCTTTGCTCGATAGGTAGCCGGTTTGACAGTTCATCAACTTGGTAGACTTGGTTTCACTCTTGGCGTGACTCATTATACACCGACTCTAGATTAAGCTACTGTATTGTGGGCAACACTGTATTCTGCAGTGTGACATAGTAGCCATGATTTTTGTCCTCTATTCTACGCGCCATAAACACCAATGTTGCCTGCTGAACAGTTGATTGAGCATAATCATAAAACATCAGTGACTTGAATCATTAATAACTTTTGTTCCTTACATTTGATCGAAAAGTGTTCTTCAACAAAGTTGTAGCTGAAAAAAATTTCAACAAGCGCAGCTATCATTTTCTAAAGTAGAGTGAACTGGTGAATTTTGAGATAGATATGAACCGAAATTATGGTTTCTCCATGGTAATTCCCATATAAACTTCAAATGGTTTGTGCCAAGTCAGTTACTCACTAAATGAGTTCAAATTTTAAGAGCCTAATCAGGGCCCAATTTGGAACCGTTTGAGCACTGTGGAGCAAAAATTTCAAATTTTGCATCAGTCTACTATATATGTACTGTTCGAATATAGGATCACATCCCAGTTTTAAACTTATTTACCATTCAAATTGCCTTTTGACGAAATCACCTTCCGATCAAAATATGTTTCGATGTTATTTAAAGTCACACGATTTCTATGGAGATGCCGTTTGTCTGAAGTAACAGCGCAGAAAAACCCGTAAAAAGTGTACGTTCGTCGTTTTATTTTCTCATTATAAAAGTGAATAAATCGAACTGTTTGTTGCTAAGATGATTTCGGTGGTCCTAAAATGATGAATGGGCTGCACGCAAGGAGACGTGATTGATAATTCTCTCGAATCTCCTGGTAAATATACTTTGACTTCAGTAACATTTGGGGACCACCAAACGATGTATGATAACTTTTGACTCAAAAACCAGTATTTTTTTAGCATAAAAGCCAGCGACCTGCTTTGTATGATTAAAACCCTGCTTAATATGTTAAACATTGCTATCACTATGAGATTATATGTGTTTAATTGGAAATATGAATAACTTTTCGGTCATCAAAACAAACCTTTATTTTCCTCGGATCGGTGCGAACGTTACTTTCGACATAAAGAAAATTTGCTCTTGATTTAAGCGTTTCTAAAAATTTTCTCACGTAAAAAACCGACAACATCCGTAATCGCCAATCGTCCTGTTGCTTCGCCGTTCGCATAGACGCAGAGCGCGATGCCGGGTCGTTTTTTTTTTTTAATTTTTAAAAGGAATCATCATCGTTCCATTTAAACCGCCAACCGGAAAGAAGACCCCAACTTTTCATGATGCAGCCATAGTCATGACATGCGTGAGAGAGGAGAGAGGAGAGTGGGCAACTCACGAGAAAAGCACTCTCAGGTACTCACCACAAGCGCGCTCTGTAGAGCGGACCGGGATCGGGATGGGATGTAAGAGAGGTTCCCTCCCGGGATGGTCCCGGCAGCGACCGAAGAATAGAAACATGTTATTGTTAAATGGAATCCTTGAAATGCCCAAAACAGACGCGCGCGAAATGCACGGTGGCTTTTGTCAGCGGCACACAGATAGATCTAATAAACTTTCTTACAAATCACGTTGCACATGATTAGTTATCACGTAACGTTATAGGCGAATACAAAATGGAAAAGGTCTTTGGATAGTGGCTATGATGTCTCGAGTGGCAAACAGCTTCATTGATAAAGTATGGGTAATTTGGGCACGGGAGAATCTGAATAAGGTTTTTCGTTGCGGTTCGAAGGAGTTTATCAAAACAGGTGGTGTTGAGAAATAGTTTGTTTGAATAATTACTAAATTTGTTTCAAACAGTTAGTTCAATACAAAACCATGAGGTTCAGGTGTAAAGAGTAATTCTAATAAGAATAATAAAGGACAATAATTATTGTCCTTGTTGGTGTTGAGCTTTCACAGAACGAATCAATAGCAATCAAAATGAGATGATTATAATAGCATTGAGTGCAATAACGAACGACACATTCAGGACCTTGATAGATTATTGGTGTCAAGTAATCATCGGTGCGTGATTTACTTGCCGTTCTGAGGATTAATGCATTTTACTCTTTCAACTTTTGAAGCGGTCATTCGATACGTTTTTCCCTTTTGTCAAGATTGTTGATTTTTGTCTTTCACGCTCGTTTCAATGCTGCCAAGAGCCTATCAGCACACGTACTGTGTTGGTCTCAATCAATTACCTGCATATTTCGCCTGGAGATCAATACAAGGGACAGACAATGATGGGTCAAATGGAATATTGACAGATGACACGTGACACAATTTGTGATAAATTGGAACATGATCAACGATGCTCGCCCTCTATATGGGATCATTTCGAATAATTTTGAATGATGAAATGCATTAAAACAAGAACAAGTTGGAGTATCAGGTTTTGCAAGGGGTGCAATTTATTCAGGAAAGGAAAAAGGGTGTTGATTTTTTAAAAAACATAAGGGTAGGCGCTGTAGGCAGCGGCAACTGGAGCAGCGGTGTAAGCAGCAGCGACTGGAGCACCGTTGTAAGCAGTGTAGGCAGCAGCGATTGGAGCACCGTTATAAGCAGTGTAGGCAGCAGCGTATGGAGCAGCATTGTAAGCAGTGTAGGCAGCGGAGGCAAATGGAGCAGTATAGGCAGCAGCCAACGGGGAAGTGTAGGCAGCAGCAACTGGAGCAGCAGTATAGGCAGCAGCTAGTGGGGCAGTGTAAGCCGCAGCGATTCCGTTATAGTTACGAGCAATGACCTGAGAGCTCTGGGCAGTCACTACAGCTGGAGCAGCGGCCACGACCGGAGCAGCGACCAGCGGCTTTCCGTTAGCGCAAGCAATGGCTACGGCAGCGAGGACAATCTGAAATCATATTTCACAATTGAGAAATTGCCACAGAATGGCTTTTTAAAAACACAACGCTTATTCTTACCACTTTGGCGAACATTTTGAAGTTTAAGGGTTTGGTTTGGGGCTTGCTGAAGCTAGAAGAGAACTTGGTGAACTGATGATGCCTTTGCAATTGCATCGGTTGATATTTATACTGTAAATCTAAACGAACTCTTTTAGTCCACCTGTCCATAGAGGTGTATTTGGAGGTGGCACCAGTTCCGATTCGAGTACCCAGCTCACGTATGGGCAAAACGAAATCAAAAGTGATCGCGTGGACTAAGTCGCGGGACACACGCGTCCACTCCAATGTTGTTGTTGGATTTGATTTGCATTCAAATCACGATTCGAATTCGCATTACAGTAGTCCAAAATCGTAGTATTGAAACGTGTAAATCTATCAATCTGATGGCCTTCTCTATGTCTGTGCGGAATTCAGCCGATACGTATGATGCATCATTGGCACTCGGGAGGGTAGTCAGGGGTAGTTGCATAATTGTGCAACGACTGATGATTGGAATATGTTGCCCGTATTTGGAGCACACAGGTGAATGTCATTGTCATGTTTTGTTGCCACGGGGGCATGTACCGGTAGTGGGTCAATGAACCATATAATCAAGCAATTGAAGCAATGTGTGTCTAATTTGTTTTCTATGTGTTATATGTTTTTAGGGGCATTAGACAGTTGTCGGTTAAGAAACAGTATTACCAAGCCAGTGCACTGTGGTCAAGATAGGCAATATGTGGATTTTTTTTATCCAAAAGCCTGGACTTTTCATTTTAGCCATAAAGGGTCTTGAGAAGATTTGTTTGTATGAGCATCTTCCACACTTTGTCTTACTTACTATGATGAAAATAGAAAAATCTAACATTTTTCTTTGAGGATATATGTAGAGGAATCATGTCTTTAGCAAAGCTGTTGGAAACGTAATGTCAAAACTACTCAAAACCTGGATGGTGCGGAGTCACTCTAAATGCTTCCACAGTGGTCCAGAACTGTGAAAATAGGTCAAAAGTCATTATCTCGCGAGTCTTGCATTTCAGATAAGTGAGCTTGTGGGAGAGTTTGTGTGAATTAATAGGTAATATTCATTTTAAAATAATGCATTTTTGCAACTAAAACGGATTTTGCTCTGCAAAACCGTGGTCGAATAGCTATACTACTTTAAAAAAGGGATCTTATTGTCGAAAATTCCCCGTCGGTCAGCAGTTGGAAGGATTTGCCAATGGCACAGCGCTCGAATTATTGGTCATTTGGCGCCCCTTTTCTTTGGGCTACAGACGGGACAGATCTTATAAAGCAGATCGGCCTACAAAAAAGTGATGTTTTTGATATGAGAAGGTGTTTCTTGAAAAAATATAGCAAGGAACCTACTACCTGAAGTATACCAATGTAGCTGTAGCCGAGGCTGATGACCATGTTTCGGAATTGACCAAGAGAGGTTGCTTTCTTAATTAGTCTCACCCACCAGCTATTTGCCTCTTCGCTCCGATTCAGCAACATAAGTTTCTCGCGTTCCGATCTTGACATCAAAATATGATGTGGTTTTGTAATTAGCATATAAAAGTTATATTTATTTTAAATGATCAACAATTGTGTAATTATTACAACATTCCATCTCAATTTTCCACGTCACGCAAACGGTAGACGATAACGTTTCTTCATTGTAACTCGGGTACTAAGGCTGTGTTCCATTTGGTGAATATTCACTTAAATTTGACGCTTCGAATATAAAATATAATGTTCGAAAATCTTCCTTTTGTTGATTTTCTGAAAAACGAAAAACATGTATTTTGTGATATAATGTGTAATAAAGCTTTCGTTTTCTAAGAAAAATACCTCTATCTACAAACCATAAAAAAAAACTCAATATTCAAATATCAATACAATTTTTCTAAAAATTATAATTTATTACATTTCATTTAATATTTTGATATTTGATATCGACGCAGCGGTTCAAAAGTTATAAATAGTTGAAGAACATCATTTAAAAAAAAAACGATTAGCAGATTTTTAGCTATGGGTCCAATCTTAAATCCATAAGAGCCATTTCTCCTATATTTTTTTATTTTTTATTATGGTGAATTTTAGCTACTTCTGAGTAAGTTCATCACCATCAGCAGTGATGCCAGGTCATTTTCAGAAAAATCTGGACCATTTTAAATATAAAATCTGGAATGCTCTAAAAAGTCCTGTTTTTAACATACTTACCTTACCAATCAGGCTAAGGCCTTGTTGTCCTCTGCTGTCCGAAGAAGTCGTCTCCACTCTACTTGATCCATGGCCACAGTTCGCCAGCCTCGTAGTCTGCGAAGGGTCCATAGGTCACCTTCTACTTGGTCGATCCACCTTGCCCGCTGCACGCCTCGTCTTCTTGTTCCTGTTGGGTCGTTTTCTAGAACCATTTTCACTGGGTCGTCGTGTGGCTTTCTTACGACGTGCCCAGCCCACCGTAGTCGCCCAATTTTTGCAATGTGGACGATGGATAGTTCTCCCAGCAGCTGGTGCAATTCGTGGTTCACTCGCCTCCTCCACGTTCCGTCATCCATCTGCACTCCACCGTAGATGGTACGCAACACCTTCCGTTCGAAAACACCCTCCACGAGCATAGTCCAGGTCTCGTGGCCGTAGAGGACCACCGGTCTAATCAGCGTCTTGTAGACAGTCAACTTCGTGCGGCGGCGAATTTTATTCGACCGGAGCGTCCTCCGGAGTCCAAAGTAGGCGCGATTCCCTGCCATAATGCGTCTTTGAATTTCTCTGCTGGTATCATTTTCGGCGGTCACCAGTGAGCTCAAATACACGAACTCATCGACCACCTCGATTTCGTCACCGTCAATCTGAACTCGGGGTGGGAGGCTAATATTGTCTTCCCTAGAACCTCTTCCTTTCATGTATTTTGTCTTCGATGCATTGATGGCAAGTCCAATCCACCTAGCTTCAGCCTTCAGTCTGATGTACGTTTCCGCCATCATCTCAAAGTTCCGTGCCATAATGTCAATGTCATCGGCGAAGCCAAGGAGCTGGATAGACTTCCTGAATATCGTGCCACTCGTGTCTATCCCAGCTCTTCTGATCACACCTTCTAACGGGGTGTTGAACAGCAGACACGAAAGCCCATCACCTTGCCGTAACCCCCTTCGAGATTCAAAGGGAATCGAGATTGTCCCCGATACTCGAACAACGCATATCACTCGATCCATCGTCGCCTTGACCAATCGCGTCAGTTTGTCTGGAAATCCGTACTCGTGCATAATCTGCCATAGCTGATCTCGATCGATTGTGTCGTATGCGGATTTGAAATCGATGAACAAATGATGTGTGGGCACGTTGTATTCGCGGCATTTCTGCAGAACCTGCCGAATCGCGAAAATTTGGTCCGTGGTAGCGCGGGCACCCATGAATCCCGCCTGGTATTGCTCTCTTGCAAATGGTGACAGGCGGCGGCATAGAATTTGGGAGATTACCTTGTAGGCGGCGCTCAGCAGTGTGATCCCGCGGTAGTTGCAGCAATCCAACTTGTCACCCTTTTTGTAGATTGGGCATACGACACCTTCCATCCACTCCTCCGGTAATATCTCCTCCTCCCAAATCTTGGCAATTACCCAGTGCAGCGCTCTAGCCAGTGCTTTACCACCGTATTTTAATAGCTCACTTGGTAGTTGATCTACACCAGTTGCTTTGTTGTTCTTCAGCCGACCGATCTCCTCCTCAACTTCTTGAAGATCAGGGGCCGGTAGCCTGTCGTCTTCTGCGCGTGCTCCAAGGTCTGTTGCCGTGCCACCTTCGTTTTCTGCTGCTTCACCGTTGAGGTGCTCATCATAGTACTGCTTCCACCTCTCAATCACATCACACTCGTTCGTGAGAAGTTTACCGTCCAAGTCCTTCCACATATCGGCTTGCGGCACGTAGCCTTTGCGCGAACTATTTAGCTTCTCGTAGAACTTCCGTGTGTCGTTTACGCGGAACAGATTTTCCGTCGTCTCGCGATCTCGGTCCTCCTGCTGACGCTTCTTCCTTCGGAAAACCGAGTTTTGTCTGTATCGCTCCAAATTAAATATCGTGCGGTGTTGCAGCATTCTCGCCCGTGCTGCATTCTTCTCCTCTACTAATAGTTTGCATTCGCCGTCAAACCAGTCATTTCTTCGGTCCAGGATTGCAGTACCTAGTGCCGCTGCAGCAGTACTACCTATGGCTGAACGGATCTCCCTCTTCAAGAGAAGCTGCGCCAAGCTGCTCTTCCGTGGGTAGTGCAACTTCCAGCTGCTGCGCGTAGTCCTGGGCAACTCCGGCGTCCCGTAGTTGCTCAATGTTGGGTCGCGGCGTTCGACTTCGACGTGTGTTATGCACCGTTGTGAGTTTTGAGCGCATGCATACTGCAACTAGGTAGTGGTCCGAATCTATGTTCGCACTGCGGTACGTGCGGACGTTGATAATGTCGGAGAAGAATTTCCCGTCGATTAGAACGTGATCGATTTGGTTTTCTGTGTGTTGGTCAGGTGATCTCCAGGTGACTTTGTGGATATCCTTGCGGGGGAAAAAGGTTCTTCGAACTACCATTCCTCGAGAGGCTGCAAAGTTCACGCATCGTTGGCCGTTGTCGTACAATACGGCATGCAGGCTGTTTGGCACGGTTGCCGATCTATACATTGCCTCCCGTCCTACCTGAGCGTTCATGTCGCCGGTGACGATTTTGACGTCCCGTTGCGAACAGCCGTCGTACACCTGCTCCAGCTGCGCATAGAACGCTTCTTTCTCGTCGTCGGGTCTCCCTTCGTGTGGGCAGTGCACGTTGATGATACTGTAGTTGCACAAACGGCCCTTAATCCTCAACTTGCACATCCTCGCGTTGATCGGCTGCCAACCAATCACGCGTTGGCGCATCTTACCCAGCACCAGTGCTGCAAAATCTCGATAGTACACGGTGATATTGACAATTCTGCTTTGGTCACTCATTTGAGCTAACAGTCATAGTCAAGGCAAACCATGTCAATTGTCAATGACAATGGTGTCAGTGACGAACATGTGCAGATTTGTTTATTAGCTAAATTTGTAACGGAATTAAACGACTTGAGCAAAACAATTACATGGATCCATTTTAATGAACAAGTATTTACGTCCT